GTGCATCTACACTCACACAGTCATATTGGTTCTGCTTCCACAGACTGGGTAGATTGTAAATGGTTTCAAGGTAGGGTACAACATTGCTCAGAATAATACCAGCCAGCACAGCCTGTGGGGAAAAGATAAAACCTGCTTCATTTTCCCTTTAGAGGTAAAACTCCCAAATCTTCACAAAGGAACAACAAAAAGTCGGCTTTGCCACTCAGAGATATTAGGCATTGATACTTCATAAAAATACCATGTCCATACTGTAACTCATTGTCTAATCAAAGAAGTATTCTCCACATTTTTCTCTGCTCTCCTCCATAATTTGTCAAAAACACAAGACAAGGCAAGGCCAAGGCCAAGACCTGACTGATTCAGCCAGTAAGGCTACAACAAGCACCTGTTAGATTCAGATCATTTATTATTTATGCAGAAAGTGGGGAAAAGAGTAGTCAAAGATTACACATACCTGTGTTGTCACTTTTGGTGTATAGAACAAGACCTAGAGGGGGCTGGCACTATAGTTATTTGTCTTGCCTTTGGTTACTTGGCCCTGCTTTATCTAGTTTGCTGGTCACATCTATGCTACCTACATTGCCTAGGAACCATTCTCAGATGAGATAACAAATTAAGGGAACTTCTACTTACAGAAACTCAAATAGTTTTGATTGGGCTTTTGTTCAAGTCTTATCATGATACACTGTAGTTATTTCCACAATGAAATACCATTTTTTTGTCTATCAGATTAAATCAGCCAACTGAAAATACCCCATACACATAGTTGTTGAGTATAAGAGGGTACTGCCCTTTTAGAAAATAATTTGGCAATATATCGAGACATATTGATATGCTTTTACACAGAAATGTTTTATTTTTAGAAATCTATTCCAAATATAGAAAAGGGAAAATGTATAAAATTACTCATTGTCATGTTATTTATGATAACAAAAATTCAGGCAATCTAATGTTTTTGATAATAAGAAAATAACTAAATAAGTTATAGTATGAAGTATCATGCTATATATTAAATAAAAACAAGAATACAAAGTTGTATGTCCAGTTAGGTTACAAAGTAATATCCCTTCATAGAAAATAACATTGGTCAGATATATGTCAAAATGTTAATAGTGGTCTACAGCCATGCCACCCTGACCGTGCCCAGTCTCGTCTGATCTCAGAAGCTAAGCAGGGTTGGGTCTGGTTACTACTTGGATGGGAGACCACCTAGGAATACCACATGCTGTAGGTGTTTAAAAAAACAAAACAAAAAACAAAATGTTAAGAGTGGTTTGTTTGTAATTATAGATGATATTTGTACCTATTATGCATTTTCCAAAGTTTTAAAAATAAGCATGTCTACTTTCCTAATGGAACAAAATTTCTTAAATTGGAGAAAATGAAAATCTGTACTTATAGGGATATAAAAATCATCAGGGCCTCAAAGTAAATATAACATACTTCAAGAAATGCTTTCTGTGTTCACAAAGTCTTGTGTTGGCATAACATTTTCAGCCTTTTCCTAGCCATCCTCTCCTCTATAAACAATGCCTGGGAATTAGAACTCATCCTACCACTAGGAATGGCTGGATCCAAGCTTACTCTGGTTTTCTGAGGTTACTCAGTGAACAGTTGGACTTAACAGGTCAGTAGAGGAGGGAAGAGCAAAAGTGAAGTCAGCAGAAATTACTTTTTCCCACTAGGAATCACCAAACTTTCTGCAATTTGCAGGGAGACGTGGTAGGAAGGAAAATAATCTCAACTTCATAGGGTTTTTGCAAGGTTTTTGGCTGGAGGTAGGGAGTGTGAAGAGGAAACAAATATTTTCATAAAACAATACACAATAAAAAATTGACCTTTCTGAATATTAAGGTAAGACATGCTCATGTGTAAAGAAGAATTAAACTTATATATAATTTTCATCGCCTAAAAGATAACAATTTTTAACATTTTGGTATGTTCTCTCTCTCTATTTTTTCACATAAAATTGGAACAATATTGAATATACTATTTTGTATTATGTTTAAAAAATTTGTATTGGTCCCATTGCTAACTAGTTGAGATCCTTGCCAGCATGCTCCAATAATTCCTCCAATAAGAATTTTGCAGCAAGCTATTCATAGTTTTTCAAGGAAGGAAGGAATCTTTCATAGTTTAAGACTCATAGAGCCCCATGTTATAGTAATTTAGATATTCCACCGATCAGATTGTGTTCACATTTTCTTACCCAGAAATACCCTAACTAGATGCTGTAAAAATAATGTAACATAACATGGTTAGCCAAAAGCAAGAGTTGTTCTGTCTCTAACATATTTATAATAACGGAGTGTTTGGGATTTTTAAAAATTCTGATTCTTCTAGCTATACAGAAAGAAAAAATACCACTATTTAAAGTAAATTAGTGAGTGGCTCTCTTAAAATAGACTTCAAGAGTTATAGCACTAAAGATGCTATATAAACTAAATTCTAGAGATAACTTCTGCTGAGAATCAGAGGACAGCTTGTGTGATAAATACAAGCTTAATCCCACCTTCCATGCATAGCTTCCATGGCTAGGTTCCAAGGTCCTTGACTCACAAAAGCAGAAGGCAGTAACAGCCTTGAGGTGGTCCTGCCCTACTAAAACCTGATATTCACCAGGTGGAAGAGACATGTTCAAAAGGATAAGGATAACATTTACAACGACTCCAGCTTCAGGGACTGCCACCTTAGTGTGTAACCAAGCTGCTACACCAGGAATGAAACCTCCTCCTACCTCCCTTAGTACTATCTAAAAATGGCTAAAAGGAACATTAAGGAAATTTAAAAGGAAATTATGGTCACTGCATACTGATCTCTATTATAACTTAGAAGGAATTGATTATAGGCAGTAATTAACGCACCTGGCATCTCTAAACTCAAGGTGGTCAGTCTAATGCAAAGCGAAGAAATAGCACATAAGTATATAGAAGCATTGTAGCTGAACACAGAGTTATAACTCAACTTTCAGATCTTGCTTTTTAGTGCTTTATACTAACCAAGAGACAATATGGAAGCAAGAGGGGGATTGAGTTCACATGAATGCAGAACAAGTCCTTCTGGAAACGGTTTAGGAAAACAGATGGCATGAATGCACAGTGAGTTTCTAAGCCTGTGTTGGTAACGGGTGTTCTGGCATCTGAAATCTATTTTGGTCAGCTTTAACTGAATCCTCACTTGTAAAGCTTACTTTATAGCTTAAGCAATTAAAAGAAGATTAATGAGAATAATAAAAATAATAACTAAGGTTTCTTGAGGGCTTATTATTAGCTCAACACTGTTTTCTCTATATTATATATATCATCTTATTTAACTCCCAATCCTGTGAGGTAGATGCTATTATTTTAACAGAAAGGGACTAGAAGGAGGCTGGGGCTACCACTGGGGACAAGCTGAATGCAATTCTCCTCAGAGATACCCACCAAGATGCAATCTGGAGATCGGTCTTTCTTGGCTTAGTTATTTGATCAGTTCCACTTACATTTGGCAGTTCGTAGAAAAAGTGTCCCACCTTCACCATCAGGAGCAGCATCACACCTGCTCCTACCAGAGATGCAAACTGAAGAGACAGAGGCGGTTAGAGAGAGACCATCAGGAACGTTTCGGTTCCTGTCATGACTGAGGCCTTCTGCTTGGTGAGAAGCATATCAGTTTTTCTTAAAAGGAGTTGAGTGTAACCAACCAGCATAGTGCATTTTTGTTAAACTGACATTTTCAGGTCTTGTCAAAGTGTGAAACACATACTAGGTACTCAGTACAAATGGTGAGAGAATGCATGAATCCACTTTGAAAATTTCCAAATTGTCTTGGGCATTTGAGTCTTTATTGCCATAGCTTTTTTGCTATGAATCTGAAATCTAACATCTGGCTTGCATTCCCATCCTAACTTTAACCTCTCCTTAAACAGTTAAAAAAAGCCCTAGAAGAGTCATTACTGTCAGCCCTAAAATCCCAACCATTCCACTTCTCATATCAATAAATATCCCGCCCCTCGCTCTCCTGTTTGGAGCTTGGATACCTTCCTACCTAGCAGTTTCAGTGGTGCTTCCTCTTACAAATACAATGATAATCACTTCTGATGTTCCTACTTTAGTTGTCTCTGCTTCAAAAAAAGTTACAAACATGAGTCGGGGCCGTATGTAGTAGCTCTGGATCCTATCCCAGCTGGGTTGACTACTCTGGGCTCAGTGAGACTTGGTAAGCAGCGATCCTGGTTGACAAACACAGGAGGAAACCTAAGAAACATAATTCCCTTCACAATCTCAAGGCTCTCTGGACATAGTCTTGAACTCATTATATACTTTATTGATAACTTTCTATTGTTTAAGTCCCTAACAATAAAAAATAAGATAAAGCAGTATAATTTCCCACTGTGAAGGGAATAAAACTGTAACCACAAATCAAATCAAGCAAGAACTGAGGAAGTCCCTTAAATCTAAACCATTAAATGGCCACTCAGCAATATTCTCTAATTTTCTCTTTATCTTAGGCGTGAAGAAAAAAAAAAAAACCTTCCTACGGGGTTTCCTGTTACTATTCACTGCTATTTGCCATATAAATGTATCACTGAAAATAATGGCAATGAAATCAATGTTCTATTCCCCCATCCCAGCTGATTCACAGCTAAGGTGAGCAACCTGACGTGGAAAAGTTGAGCCCCATGAGAGTAGTGTAGGAAGAAGGAAGGTTTCAGGAAAATGAATCACTGTGACTGAAACTCGGGGAGTTCTAATGGCAAATATTTTATACACTGGAACTAAAACAAGTAACTGAGACCATGAGCTCCTCCAGCCAAGATACATATCAGCCTGTTGCTGGATCTAATTTGAGAGTCCGGCTTCAGGCAGTCTTTGTCAGCACTATAGGAAAAAATCTTCTTCAATTAGCACAGAAAAATATATCAGCATTTTTCCTTCCTACCACTTCTTTCCTCCAAAATTCTTCTGATTATTTTTAAGGAAGCAAAGCCATGCAGATGCCAAAATAAGCTGTATAAAGCCTAGATTAAAATGAGTACAAGCCAGACATTGAATTGGATCATAAAATTTTCTACTCAGAGAGGGTTGGAAGGCCTGCTAATAACTGTGTGTCCCCTATGGCCGCACACACAAGGGAATGGAGCTTTGGGATCAGAGGGCCATCCTCAGTGGCATTATGCCTTAGGAGGATGCTTGGTGGCTCTCAGAATCTCAGACTCAGTGTCTGAACAGTGTCTAAAGACAGCAAGCATGAGAACTATACATCTCATGCATGCTTTGCTTTTCTGCTCTAATTTTCCATCACTTTTCTAGGCGTTCTTGATCAAAGACAGACTCTGCCCTTTCTCTGGGGATTCAAGGTAATATGAGTTCCCACAAGCCACAGCCACTATTGACACACAGACCCTCGGACATCAATTACCCCATAAGTAGTGGGTTCCGTAAAGTAGGACAATAGATGGCCAAGTGCCCAGGGCTCTAGGGACCTGGGGTTAAAGTTATGATTTTCAAACATCTTAAGTGACAGGCACTGAAGGGAACTATTATCATCGAATTCAATTCTCACAACTGAAAGGTTATCCTTATCACCATTTCACAGGTGAGGACTAGAGCCTCAGAAGGCAAAAGCAACTTGCCCATGGTCATACATCTAGGCACCACTGAGTCAGGTTTCAACCCATCTGACCTGCTGACTCCAAAATCTTGGCTTTCTCTACTATCCCATCTGCTTCCTCTAAAAAAAACACAACACATTTCTTCTTCTATAATTTTTTTCTTTTCTTTCTTTTATAACAACTAATTTTGTAAACAGTTCTTGGAGCATGGGGAGAAGGCAAGAAGGCCAGTTCTTAGAAAGCAGAGAATAAGGAAAGGAAACCACTCATGGGGAAGAGGAAAGCACAGTGGTCAGAAGTAAATGAGCAGGAAGATGGAGTGGGGGACAGTCCGAATGGGCCTGGGGCTCTCCACATCCTCTCTGTTCAGGCCCAGGCCATAGCTGGAAGGGCCAATAGGTTTTGGTGTAACCAATGAAGAGAAGTGGGTTATAGATCAAGAAAAATTAAAAAGAAATCCAGACATATGTACACAGCTTATATTTATGACAGACCAAAAACAAACAGACAAACAAACAAACAAATAAATAAATAAAATAAGGTGGCCCTTCGTGGCAGGTTGTCTGAGAAGTTTAGAGCCAGACCCGTAGCTTCTCTTTCTTTTAGTCTTAAGGAACTTTGAAGAAGCAAGTGTGTTCTCAGGCAGAGTGAATCAAAAGTCCTAGAGTGAAAAGGTGGAGAGAGCACCCACGGCTGTGGGATGAAGAAGGCTGTATGAGTCTCAGAGGCCTTTGCCGGTCCAGATCAGAAGCTCAGAGTAGAGGCTGGGTAGCTCCCATATGTAGGGCTAGGGTCCAGCAGCACTCTCTCCTTGGACTAGTGATTTGCATGGGGCAAATCAGGGTCTCACGGAAGGGCTTACCAGCATCCCTAGAAGGGTCACTGCACTGCAGAGAGAGAGATGTCATTGGTAGAGGAGTATGTTACACAAGAGAATAATGCAGCAACAGAAAACAGAATGAGAGCCATAGGCTGGCTGTCTTTGAGGCAGGCACTTTGTCCAACAGGCTGAAGGCAACTCAGAGGCTGAACTGAAGCCCTTCTTCCTTCCTTCCATCTATACGTAACCTAGCTCTCTTTCAATAATCCATGAAAGTCTCACTTCATCATTCTCCTTCTTGCAATAGTTATGGCAGTTTTTATTTACTGTACTTATTCTGCACTTAATTTTACTTGCACTGTGATTTAGTTTTTTCCAACTGTGCGCATCTTTTCTCCTCAAATTTATGTTACGCTTATACATTGAATGAACAAAGTGAGTTGTCAAAAGTTAGTGGGAATTAATATCCAGAATTGCTATTTCCATTTCTTTTCATAAAACTCTCTCATTCTGACTTCAAAGCTTTTTCACTAGTGCTTAGGACATTCTTAAAGAATAGTGGAAAAGAGCTACACCTTAAAGGCCAGTGTGTCTGGCAGAAGCTCTATGGCAATAAAACTCAGTCCACGTAGAATGATATCATATGGTCTGACTCTAGACCCATGCTTTTGTTCTCACCTTCTGACTTTTATTAGCTTTCACCTTATATTTCACCAAATTTAGCCATGGACTGTGACACTTTATCTTTCCTCATTAAACTTTAGTGTCCATTCTCCCAACGCTTCAGTTTCTGACCTTGGCTATACCTTCCTACCATGCTTCTGCAGCCTAAGCTTGTCTTTGACCTCTGTTGCTGTTTCTCTGCCTTCTGAACTCTGACCTGTTCCCTGGCCTTACTCCAGTTTCAGTTTTGATAGTTCTTTGACATTTAATCAGACTACATAGCTGAGACGGAACACCCCTCACATTGTAATGTAGTATCATTTAGTCGGTCTAAAACTCATGAACATTGGACTCATGACTGCAAGTAAACAAGGAGGTTTGCCTTTAGAGCCTGCCTTCTCAATTGTCATTTGCCCCTTATCTCTCCCCTCCCACCCACCCATACATTTAGTTTACTAATTCAGAATACTTGAAGTGAATCTGACCTAGATAATTTTCTCTTATACATAGATAGAATGGTCATAAATCCCCTAGGCTTAACTAGACATAGATCTTACTCCCTGTCATGAAAGCATCTTGCTATGTCCTTTGAGGAAGCAAGGAAATTTTCTAGTTTGGCTGCCAGGTTGAAGAGAGTTGTGTTATTGCTTTCTCAGACTAAGACTGAGAATATATAGCCCATATGAAAAAATGAGTAGGTACGCTACATAGAAAATGTTTTTTTGTGAGCTAATATATAGAAACCTGTCACATAGAACAACATTTCTATAGTAAATGACTTTCAAGTTCCATATTGACAAATAGCTTTTAAGACAAAATATAAGCAAAAATTAAGACAAGCATGAAATCCAAATTCTTCCAAGAGATCTTCCTCAATAAGCACAATGTTAAACAGCAACATAATTAAACTAATATAATCCCTTACAATGACTATATATACACATGTGTGTTTGTGTGAATAGAGATAAATATGTTTATATGTTAGACATTGGTTCTATTTCAACACACCTGTTGTCTTCCTCCAGATTTATCCTGGATAATAGTCCTGATAACAGCACCGGTAAACACACAAGATTTGAAAAATGAACTGACGACATTGCAAAGGCCGATGGCTATTAAATCCTACAAAGAAATGGCAAACAATTTAGGCCCACTATTTGTTGAAGAATGCTGATTTACATTTTCACTAAAGGTATACTGTCTATTTCTTGTGTGTTAAGACAGGGTTGTTTATATCACTTGAAATAATACTGAAATTTTCTTAGAAAGAACAAAAGGATGGCTAATCTGATTTCTAGATTTCGTTGAATCTTCACTTTAGCTAGTGATCATAAGGAAAGCATGTTTCAAAATGAGTAAATGAGACTTTTGCAAGATCAGTAGGACTTAGAATGACAGAGAGGAACACAGTACTATTTCTCTCCCTTCCTTCTATACTATCCTAAAGTCAAAGTGGGACACCTCTTGCTTTCACATTTCCCTTTTGAGTCCTAGAAAAAGGACCAAACTCAGAATAGTTGGAGATTTTCCAAAAATAAAAAAAGGCAAAAACTATTTCTGGGAGACCAACTTAATTATATTAGTAGCCTGGTTTTGATATTCCATATCATTTCTTACTGTACCTCAGAATGTGGTTGACTTCTAAGGACTTGGTGGAAAGGAAGTTAAATTAAGAGGAGAGGAACTCCGCTAGCTTACCAACATGGTACCGTGTATTATCTTCTTGCACTCCTATACCATATCTGTTCTAGGGGAATAACACTCACATTAATTCAAGTGGGTTCAGAGTTAAGTGTGCCACACTTCTCAAAAATCCTTTGGTAATAATTATAGTTTTGATAATGGTCCAAGTGATTCTCTGGTTACAGGAGAATCCAGTCTTCACATTAGCAGGAGGCTCAGATGAGAGAGCACAGACTTAAAGGTCAGAGGAAGTAATAGAAAGACCTATCCTCTCACCTGGTTGGAATTGACATCATAGTTATGGAAACTGGCCATCTTCTTGCCCAGAAATATGAGCAATGAGGAGCTTACAAAAGCTAAGGAGAAGGCTTCTAAAACAACGTCCGAAAGAAAGTTCAAATCTGGTGTATCAGGAAACAGGAAGCTAGAATAAAATGGTAGAATTATTCTTGGAGAGCAGGATCATTTATTGGCACCTCCCCCACTCCCTCCTTATCATAAAGGGTAGGCTGACCCTTAAAAAAAAAACAATAAGAGATAAGAAGAACAATTGAGGCAGTAGCCTGCCAAAACTGCCAGCAAACCAAGCCAAGTTACAACAGCCATTGAGAGAGCATGCTCTGCTATATTCCAGTTAAGGTTTCTGCCATGTAGCAATGGTAACAAATAGGACACACAAAACCACAAAAATTGATGGAAAATGGTTTATATACACGATTTGAGACATACCAGTGGGTAAACAACAGGCAGATATCACATCTAAGATGGTTTAGAGCTAAAAAGCTCAGTGAATTCCCTTCTATTCACACAAACCTTTCAGGGTGTAATTTTAGTCACTGTCCTTTATACAAATTATTTCCAATTTTATCCACACCTTCCCACCTGTAGTTTTTTCTTCCAGTTTTTGTTATTGCGGTAAAATACACATAACATGAAATTTACTATCATCCATTTTAAGTGTACAGTTCAGTAGAATTCAATATATTCATAATGTGCAACCATCACAATCATCAGCTCCATAACTCTTTTCATATTGTAAAACTGAAACTCTATACTCATTACCCAATAATTCTTTATTTCCCCCTTTCCCAGCCCTGGCTACCATGATTCTACTTTTTTTCTTGATGATTTTGACTGCTCTAAGGACTTCATATGTGGAATCATACAGTATGTTTCTTTTAGTGACTGGCTTCTTTCACCTAGCACAATGTCCTCAAGGTTCATCCATGTTGCAGTATATGTCAGAATTTCTTTCCTTTTTAAGGCTGAATAATGTTTTATTATGTATATACCACATTTTGCTTATCCATTCATCCACTTATGGTTTCTTCCACTAAAATTTTAGCTGTTGGGAATAATGCTGCTATGAACATGGGTGCACAAATACCTTGAGACCCTGCTTTCAGTTTTAGGGGGTATATATATCCAGAAGTAGAATTGGTATATCATATGGTAATTCTATTTTTAATTTTTTGAGGAACTGCCATACTGCTTTCCACTTACAGTGCACGAGGATTCCATTTTCCTCACCCACATTCTCTCCAATACTTGTTATTTTTATTTTTATAGCAGCCATCCTGATAGGTATGAGGTGGTATCTCATTGTAGTTTTGGTTTGCATTTCCCAAATGACTAGTGATACTGAGCATCTTATCATGTGCTTATTGCTCATTTGTATATCTTCTTTGGAAAAATGTCTGTTCAAGTCCTTTCCCAATTTTTTGAGTCAGATTGTTTCTTTGTTATTGGTTATTAGGCATTATCTATATGTTTTGGATATTAATCCTTTATCAGATATATAATTTACAAATATTTTCTCCTATTCTGTGGGTTACCCTTTTATTCTATTGATAGCGTCTTTTGATTCACAAAAGTTTTTAATTTTCATGAAGTCTAATTTGCCTATTTTCTTTTGTTGCCTATGCCTTTGGTATCATATTCAAGAAATCATTGCCAAATCTAATGTGATGAAGATTTGCCCTATGTTTTCTTCTAAGAGTTTTATAGTTTAGGTCTTACATTTAGGCCTTTGATCCATTTTGAGATAATTTTTTTGTACAGTGTTAGCAAGAGTCCAACTTCATTCTTTTGCATGTGGATATCTAGTTTTCCCAGCAGCACTGAAAAGATTGTCCTTTTCCCATTGAATACTCTTGGCATCCTTGTCATTGGACCATATATGCAAAGGTTTATTTCTGGGCTGTCCATGCCATTCCATTGGTCTATATGTCAGTTTTTATACTGGTACCACACTGTTTTGATTACTTGAAGCTTTGCAGTAAGTTTTGAAATTTGGAAATGTAAGTCCTCCAACTTTGCTCAACTTTTTCAGGATTGCTTTGGCTCTTCCGGACTCCTTGATATTCTATATGAATTTTAGGATTTTTTTTTCCTGCAAAACACCTCATGGGGATTTTGATAGGGATTGAATTGAATCTGCTGATTGCTTTGGGTAGTATTGATATCATAACAATATTAAGTCTTCCAATCCATGAACGTGAGATGTATTTCCATTTATTTACGTCTTCTTTAATTTTTTTCACCAATGTTGTGTAGCTCTCATTGTATAAATCTTTTACCTCCTTGGTTAATTCCTAAGTATTTTATTCTTTTTGATGCTTTTATAAATGGAGTTGTTGTAATAATTTCCTTTTCAGATTGTCCACTCTTAGTGTATAAAAAAGCTACTCTTTTTTGTGTTGACTTTGTATCCTGCTACTTTGCTGTATTCATGTATTGGTTTTAACAGTTTTTTCTTGTGTAATCTTTAGGGTTTCTGCATGTAAATTCATATCATCTATAAACAGAGATAATTTTACTTCTTCCTTTCCAATTTGGAAGGCTTTTATTTCTTTTTTCATGCTTAATTGCTCTGGCTAGAATTTCCAGTACTATGTTGAATAGAAGTGTTGAAAGTGGGTAACCTTACTTTGTTCCCGATTTTAGAGTAAAAGCATTCAGTCTTTCAACATTTAGTGTGACGTTTGCTGTAGATTTTTCATACATGGCTTTTTAAATTTAAAGTCTATTTTGTCTGATATTAGTATATCCACTCCTGTTATCTTTAGGTTCCAATTTACATGGAATATCTTTACTCATCCTTTTGTTTTCAATCTATTTGTGTCTTTGGATCTAAAGTATGTCTCTTGCAGACAGCATATAGTTAGATCATGTGTTTTATCCAACTGACAATCTCTGTCTTTTGGTTGGAGAGTTTAATACGTTTACATTTAAAGTAATTACAGATAAGGAGGAAATTACGTCTGTAATTTTGCTATTTTTCTAGCTTTATTTGTCCTTCATTTCCTGCATTAATTTTTTTCATGTTTAATTGATTTTTTGTAATGAAATGGTTAAATTCCTTTCTAATTTTCTTTTGTGTATATTATATAGCTATTTTCTTTGTTGTTACCATGGGAACTACATGGAATCCTCTAGTTATAACACTCTAATTTGAATTAATACTTTGATAACATACAAAAACTCTGCTCTTTTATAGTTCTGTCCTTATCCCTTTTGGTTGTTGATGACACAAAATTACATCTTTATACCTTGTGGGCCCCAAAACATAAATCTTTTAAATGCATCAGTCTCTTAAATTATGTAGAAAACAAAATGTGGTGTTACCATTGTTACAACAATAGTAGCTTTTATAATTGCCCTATATTTACTTGTATTGAGATATTTATTTCTTCATACAGCTCCCAGTTATTGTCTTGTTCCTTTTATTTTACCTTGCAGGACACCCTTGAGTATTTCTTGCAGGGCAGGTCTAGTAGTAATGAACTCCCTCAGCTTTTGTTTATCTGGGAATATCTTAATTCCTCCTTCACTTTTGAAGGACAGTTTTGCTGGATATAGGATTCTTGGTTGGCAGTTTTTTTTCTTTTAGCACTTTGACTATGTTGACCCATTGCTTTCTGGCCTCTAAAGTTTCTGACAAGAAATCTGCTCATTATTTTATTGAGGAGCCCTTGTGTGTGATGAGTCACTTGTCTCCTGCTACTCTCAAGATTCCCTCTTTGTCTTTTGAAAGTTTGATTATAATGTGTTACCACATTATAATGATGAACTCTTTGAATTCATCTTACTAGGAGTTTGTTGAGCTTCTTAGATGTTTATATTCATGTCTTTCATTAAACTTGGGAAGTTTTCAGCCATTATTTCTTCAAATGTCCTCTCCACCCCTTTCTCTCTCTCTCCTCCTTCTAAGACTCCCATGATATGTATGTTAGTGTGCTTAATGGTGTCTCATAGGCTCCTTAGGCACTGTTGATTTTTCTCCAATTGTTTGTCTTTCTGTTCCTCAGACTCAATAATAATTTCCATTATCCTATTTTCAAGTTCACTGATTCTTTTTTCTGACTGCTCAACTCTGCCAACGAATACAGACATGTGTTGCTTAACGATGGGGATACAGTCTGAGAAATGCAACATTAGGCAATTTCATCATTGCATAAACATTATAGACTGCGCTTACACAAACCTAGATGGTATAGCCTACCACACACCTAGGCTATATGGTATAGCCTATAGCTCCTAGGCTACAAAACTGTACAGCATGTTACTATACTGGGTACTGTAGGCAATTGTAACACAATGATAAATATTTGTGTATCTAAATATATCTAAACATAGAAAATATACAGTAAGAACATGATATAAAAGATAAAAAATGTATACCTGTATAGGGCACTTACCATGAGTGTAGCTTATAGGACTGAAGATTGCTCTGGGTGAGTCAGTGAGTGAGTGGTAAGTGAATGCAAAGGCCTAGGATATTACTGTATACCACTGTAAACTTTATAAACACTGTACACTTAGGCTACACTAAATTTATAAAAAATAATTTTTTTAAATAATAAATTAACCTTAGCTTACTATAACATTTTTACTTTATAAACTTAAAGTTTTTAAAAACTTTTTGACTCTTTTGTAATAACACTTAGCTTAAAACACAAACACATTATACAGCTATACAAAAATATTTTCTTTCTTTATATCCTTATTCTATAAATTTTCTATTTTTAAATTTTCAAAAATTTTTTTTGCTTTTCAAACTTTTTTGTTAAAAACAAAGACACAAACACACATATTAGCCTAGGCCTACATAGGGTAAAAATCATCAATATCACTGTCTTCCACCTCCACATCTTGTCCCACTGGAAGGTCTTCAGGAGCAATAACACATGGAGCTGTCATCTCCTATGATAATGCCTTCTGGGATATCTCATGGAAGACCTGCCTGAGGTTCTTCTTAAGAGATGTCACTCTTTTCAGAAATATGTTTGTTAATTTTTTTCATCATAGTTTGCTTGTAAGCAGTTAACGCACCTTGAACATTTATCTCTACTAATGAAAACCTTTTAGTGTTGGGTTCCAGATTTTCAAACTTTTTAAGGAGCTTGTTGATGTCTGCAAAAG